TTTTGGTCTATAAATTTCGACAGGCGTCGGCGGAGGTCGTCGAGTGACCCCTCGGTCTCGATCCCTAACGTCTCGAGCTCGATGATCAGATCGGGCTTAGATAATTGATAAATCCAGCTTTTCATACTGCGCGAATTAATTGCTCTTTCCTTACGGTCCCTGTTCGGGCGCCATGTAACAACTGTCGTTATTCCGTCGCACGGAGTAGCTCGTCGGAAAACGGGCGGCGAAATTGGCTCAGGGCGGATAAGGAAGAGCAATCAATGTAACTCGGATTTTAATATGTACAAGGTAATGCGTTTATTTAACTACTAGGATTTTATACATTTCGGTACGCGCGGACGGACGTTATATACACATATGTACAGGATTAGCGCGAGCGCCGGCGAGTGCCCATCGGGTGTGCACGTGCCGGCGTGTGACGTCGGTGGGCGCGCGGTAGGCGCGGTAGGCGGGAAGCGGCGCGGCGCGTGAGACAAGTGTCCCAGGTGGTGCGCGGTAAGGGGCGCGTGGCCCGGGCCGTTTCTGAGTATCGGTGACTGTGTTGTTTTTGCCGGGGGAATCCGCCGCTGAGGTATTTCTCAGTAGAGAGTGAGAACCCTCTCACTCCCCTTGGTTTCGGCGGTTCCCGGAGACAGGAATCGGAAGCGGTTGGCCGAGATAGACTCGGACGAGGCAGAGAACCCTCTCGACCCCGGTGCTGACCGTCCCGTGAGGAAGGGATCCGGAGCAGGTCTGCCTGAGAATCCTAGGCAGAGGCTGAGAACTCTCTCTCGACCCCTTTTTCTCGACTTGCTCGCGGTTCGGGTGCGGATGGTACTTCTGGCGGACTGGCGGGTAGCGAGTCGGGCGAGAAGTGTCTCTGTCGGAAATTTGCCCGGCTTTTATACCCGCTCGGGCGCAGGTTCGGACGTTTCCGCGTCTCGTCGGTAATCTCCGGGTGCGCTCAAAAAAAGGACAAGGGAGTGCTCGGCGGGGTGAGTTTCCCGTGTGTGTCGTTGAGTGGCGCAAAAGGTAATCCGGGCGCCTTGCGCCCGGTTCCCGCTGGTTGTACGTGCGGGAACGATGCGTTCTTTAAGGGGGTGCATCGTTACATCGCCCCCCTTCTTGGTAGTGCCTGAATTCGAGGCACAAATTACTTCGCCTGGGGTAGTATTTCCCGTACCCGCCGTATTGAGCCATCTGCGTTGAAGCGGACGTGCCACCTCTTTCCCCTCGAGCGTGTTTTCCACTGCCTGGACACGTGCGCTGAGAAGTGCGGCACCTCAATGATGTGTCCCGGCTCGACTTCGACCGGGATCGGGGGT